GGACAAGCTCCTTGAGCAAGCAACAAAGGCAGGCATCTGATCCCTCCTGGCTTTGTTACACAGCCCATTTCTGAACCAACAAAATATGTTTGGCCACATGTTTATGTCAGCAAATAAATGTGTCTATGGAATGGAAATGTAACCGCACCAAAGGAATTGTGAATGTCTATTTGAGCAAACTGATGGCTATACCTTTCTTTTTAGCTCTCAAGACATGAAATAATACTGTGTCTAATCACCACTATTTTTCAAAGCTGGTGTTTAAAAAATCGAGGTCATCTTTCATAGTTGTGTGTATGTTTTGACTATATCTCATCCCATTTATCCATAGAGAAAATTAAAATAAATATTGTTACCCGATGAAAGTGTGGTTTTGGTTTTGGTTTTTTCCCCAAACCCGTTTGGATGACCTCCTTTCTTTGAAATTGCTTTCAGTTTATTTCCAAATAGAATTTGTTATACTCTGGTTTTATAGATGAAATTATCCTAAAGTTACTTAATTGTTTTGTAGACATCATTTTTCTCAATAGAGATCAGCATAGTCGTAATGTGAACGAAATTATATTATTGCTTCCAGTTAAACATTGTATTCTCGATAACTTTATTTATATGGGTTTCTTTATTTAAAAGACCATCTTGAAATAAGTGATAGATCTATAATAATTAACTGCAGTAAAAAAATGAATGATTTCCAACTGATGGTTTTGATAACCAGTGATCAGCACCTGGAGTAGGTTTAGTACAGAGACGGAGTTTAATTAATACTTGTTAAATGAATCTTCAACATGCTACTGTTAGTTCTTTCACATATTACCTTATTTTTCTGACCTTATAAAGTATTGACATCAGTTCTTAAGCCACTAATTTTTATCTTTGAGAAGAAACCAATACAAAAAATGAGTGACATCGTATCTTCCATACATGTTTGGGAAGCTCTAAATATTCTAAAGTTTTAAAAGTCCATGATTACAAATGCCAAGTGTACTTAGGTGAGCGGTGCTGATTTAACCTATGTTCTTTTTCTCGTCTTTTCTTTTGTAATATTACAGTTTCTAAAAAGGTCTCAAACAAAACAAAACAAAAATTCAAAAGCTCAGAAATTTAGACTATGACAATAATTAAGACAATGCAGAAAGGGCACTGGTAGATTTTTAAAAACTATTTTTAATAAAAGATTAATAGCAATTTTCTATCCAAATCAGAAATGAAAAATCTTAACCCAAATAATATTCATTTGACAGTCACATAAAATTTTAGGTTTGATTGGTGCACACATTGGTCCTGCATATTTAGTATGCATATGCACACAGAGACCTCACTATCAGGACATCCTTAGATTTCTTTTCATGGATGTACCTCATTACAAGGCAAGGCCAAAGATCCCAGTAGCTACGCAACTTAGAATGAGGTTCACATGGCCCCATGCTAGGCTGAGTCCTTGTGTTGTAGCAAACCATGATATAGCAAGGCTCCAGAATGCATACAGATCAGTACTCTATTTGTATAATTTGGCCTAAAACTAAACACTGGCTAATGTCTCCGCCGAGGAGGAACTGCAAATTTATAGGTTATGGTCTCCTTTATTCTTCTGCTGGCAAAGCTAAACTGCCATTTTTGTTTCTTTGTTTTGTTAAAGTTAAAAGTCAGGTCTGTTAGTGACTGTAAGTAAATGAAAATGAGTTTGAATTTCTGCAAGTTTTGGATAAGTCAAAACTTGCATTTGCTAACACTTCCACCTTTAATCAAACCACTTGACAATTAGCCTTGCAAATAAAAGTAACAAAAGAATCACAACTCAGGAATTTGCTAAGGTTTTATTCCTCCTTGGGGACTTTAGTTGGTGTTCAGTGTGTAGCCAAAACATGTATGTAATAGCTAAAGAATTAAAGTAGGCTAATGTCTGCAGCAGGGAATATAAATTAAGTATCAGGGTTCTGCGTCCGATAATATTTTCAGTGTGTTTGAGTTATAGAATGTTACTTTTATAATTAATACAGCTTGTCAATGAATAATAGTGTTTTTCAGTGTAGACAAAGTAGTATTTTCTATCCCTTACAATTAAAACAGGTCATACAAGATACTTATCTGGGCAAGTGACTGTAAGGGAGTCAGATTGCTATTGCTAAGTTTGCTTAGAATGGCTATAATCGAAGTACCGACTTGACCTTCATTAAGCTGACCGAAGGTCATCATGTCTGTCCTTCAGTACAGAACCATAGCAAAGCTCTACTTCGTAAATTTGTAATTCATTCTTCTCTGCTAAAGACTTTAGCCTCTGTTTAGCTTTTGTTATAACATATACAAAGTATAATATACACCCATTACAGACGTGTATTTCTGTTAGAAAAATACATATTATAACTAAACATGTAAATAGAGGCACTTCAATAAGCTAAGTGTTTGCAGTTATGAGCATCACCCAACGATCTCTAGTGTCCGACTTCGGTGAGCCCATTCCTCTCTACTTGTAACAGAGGTTATGGTGTCATTACAGAATTTAGGGGCCATCAAAGCAAAGAAGTTAGTCACGAAAAAGAATGCAGCATCATTGCTTCCCCTATCACGATGCTGAAATGAGAGAAATTAATTTGGCCAGGGGTGGGGATGGGGTGAGGTAAGATTCCAAAAATACTTCCGAAATGGGGCAACTAGATTAAACTAATTCTCATAAGGCAAAACAAATTCTTATGTTAAATTTGTTTGAAAATTATATGATATATTAGGGTGATGATAAAAACCAGAAAGTACAATTTGAATAATGTTCTGACCACATTCATGCAGGTGACTAATATTGTGGCATCATTAACTGATAGTCATTTCAGCTTTCTGCCTGGCTCATATGGATCACTATATCTAACCATTATGAATACTATTAATAACTAATGTGTTGAAACAAGTGAAGCAGGTGTTTATATGCTATTTGTGTGTTTAGTGTGTACAGAATGTGGATTTATATTCATTAATATAATGTGTATCCATACACATGCACAAAACCATTTTAGGGTGTAAGCACAGGGAAAACAATGCATTCTGATCTATTTCATAGAAGACAATGCAGACACATTTCAAAAAGACTTGGAGTTAAAACCATGAAAACAAATTATTACTCAAATGTTCTGGCAAATCAAGGTTGATTTAATTTGTATTGTACCTTAATTATTTGGAGAACGACAATTCTGATTTCTGAACATACAATGAAATGAGCAACATAAATGATTGGTCCTTCATAGAGTTGTTTTATGTGTGATTGGTGACAGAAAGCCAAAATGTTCTTCTACAAGTATGTAATGCTGAATTAGGTTAAGTGTTAATTAATTTCATAGAGATTTAAAGGAAAAGATGCCACAAAGTCTCTCAGAATCCTACATTTCATATTTCATTAGGCATACAATAGCAATAGATGCTTCTAAATACTTTCAGTTTTGCAAAAGTGCTCAATTATACTTAATACTATTGTGCCGCATATGTTCTACTTAAATGTGATGACTAAATCAATAACTAATTAAGATTTTTGATGAGAAAGGGGATTGAAACATACCATTTACGTGTCACTGCTGTCAATGGGTTAATTAAAATGTGACTGGTATACTATGGTGTCTTAAAACATTACTTTCCCAACTCCAGATGCATCTTAAAAACCAAGAAACACATGGATAGGCAACTGTATTCACAAAGCCCCAGTTTGCTTTATTTTGCTTCTCTCTGTCGGGGGGCACAGGGCTGAGCTTTGGCACACTTGGTGGACCAGTTAGGCTGTAGCTCTAAATTGGCCTCTTGAGTTAGGACATTTCTCCAGGTGCCAAGCAAGAATCCTAGGCTGAAGGCATTGTACATGAAAGCAATGGTTTTGCGTGAATAACACATTCTTTACACATACACTTTCTATCACCGGTGAAGTTCTGCACACCCATGGCTCTCTCCATGAGCTCGGGACAGTCTGGAGCATCCAGGACAAAGCACGCTCATGCAAAAAGGGTGTGCCCTGGCAAACTTTTATTAAATGGACAGTTAGATACGTAAAAAGGTCTCGTTCTTGATTCTTGGTGCTCACAGATCATTGAAGAATCCCTTCTCGGAGCAGCACAAAACAAGAAGAGCTGGTTGACAAAACATTTTTGTTACAAAGGTGTGTCAACCCTGAGCTTGGAATTAAGAAGTTAAAATCTGTGATTTATATATATATAGATATAAAAATAGATGATCATACTAAGACTAAAAAAGTGAAAGAAATCTCCATGTCAATACTATATATATATTTTTTTGTCTTGACTCTTTTTTTGTTGTGAGTTATTTCATAAGAGAATGCCCTTGTGATGCAGAAACCAATTGACACAAAGCAAATGGCTAAAAATAAAAACTCTGCATGGGGTGGATCTAACTGTTTATCAGTTCATTAAAGGAACTCTTCTTTTCGGGATGGGTAATGAGCACACGGGCAGAAACCAAATTAATGTCCAACCTGTGGCTAGAGCAAAGCGATTGTGTTGTTGACCATTATTTTCAATTCAGACCCTTGAGAAGGATGAATTGATGGGGGTGTCCACTAGTAACTGAGGAAGAAGGGGGAAATCTGCGCCAATGGGTCCAGTGGACAGACACTAAGAGAATTGAGGAGGATGGTACCATTAATGCAACTGGAATTGGGCAGGGTGAGAGAGAGGTGCTGAGTTGTAGCAATATTTTGTGTCATATTAAAGACAGAATTCTAAACCTAGTACCAGTACCTCTAAATCGGTTTGGCGTTGTGTGGTCAGAGTGCAAGGTGATACCTCCAAGACAACAGTGTATTTTCACTACACTAAAAACATTGTTGGACTTTTCCCCCAGAGCATGTGTTTAAACCCAGTGAGTCACAGAAAAGCTTTCGCTGGGAGCTGCCTGGCAATGCTGAACCTGTGGTGTTCCAGCTCTTTTATTTTTCTCTCCTTTGCTTCTTTGTTGAAAACGCAGTTGTCTTGGGGTTTGGCCTGATTTTACAAAGAAAATTATTTTCTTCCTACTTTTTTTTTTTTTTTTTTTTTTAAGTTGTTATAAATGGGAAAAAAGAACTCACAACGTGAGATTCCTTTACTTCTGCAGCATAAAAGCAAACGAAGGTAAGAAAATCTCCTGGTAGGAAAGATCTGAGTAAGAACGCTCTAGAAGAAACAGGGTCCCACAGAGAGCAGAGGAAAGAGGGAGCGGTCCAGTCTGGCACCCGGTACTCTTTGGGAAAACAGAAAGGGAGGCAGAGTGCAGCCTGCTCTTCTCATAGAAAACGGTAAGTTTTTGTGGCATGGTCCATTGTCCAAGAGTGTAAGAAAAGAAGGGAGTTGGCTGTTCAAATAGCTAAAACGCAGTTTGATCGGACGGAAACCCAGGATTATCTGCACAGTCTCTGCAGTGCCAGGACGAGGCCCACGAGAGACGCTGACAGCAGCGAGGGGCCGTGCTGGGCTGCGGAAGAGTCTACTTCTCTCCGGTCGGGATCTACTGCAGGCGCCTCCGTGGTGACAAACTCAAACTCCGTGGGACACACGTCATCCATGCACCCACTGCCACTCCCTGAGCCGCTGGATTCATCGCCTGTGTGGACGGAATGACAGAGAGTTAGACCACAACCTGGAAGGCTGGAGGCACACGGCAGAAGTGGGCATGGTGGTGGAAGGGGACATCTCCCTACCAAAGGGTCTCCCCCCACCATCTCCACAGTTTGCTTTTTTAAAAAAATCCTCACCCGAGGACATTTTTTTCTCCATTTTTATCTTCAGATAGAGTGGGAGAGAAAGAGAAAGAGAGAGAGAAACCTTGATGTGAGAGACACACTGATTGGTTGCCTCGTGCACAACCCGGACCAGGGCCCGGGACTGAACCTCAATGGAGGTACCTGCCCTTGACCGGAATGACCCACGAGTCTTTGGCCCCTGGGCAGATGCTCTAACCACTGAGCAAGACTGGCCAGGGCAACAGGTTTGCTTTTAATGGGCAAGTGTGTGATGGGCAGGTGGACTCTATCAAAATAGATGTAAGAAACACAGTAAAACTGATATCCAGAGTTACCCAAGTAAGGAGCAGGTGAATTCCAGACCTAAGGAGGGGCCATACCTACCATGTTGGCATTGGAAAGGTGTTTCTTATTCTAGCCAATATTTAAATGACTCTCATCAGTTCTATTCTTTGCTCTTTTTGTACCTCAGAGCCATGGTTTTTAGTGGTTATTATGCTTTTATAAAGAATTTTAGAAGGATTTTTTACAGGAAGGAGGAGTCATAGTCAAGCAGAGAACACAAACACTGCGAGTAGGAAATCAGAGGGGTCACAGCTCACAGCTGTGGAAGGCACTGTTAGTAATACTTCTGACTACTTATCCTCCACTTCTGTTCCCCTCAAATCAAGGACAGACTTTGTCGCAACCAGCCTCTCCCTTTGCACCAGGCGTAACTGTGGCTCACCAGTCAATCTATCCTGCTCCTTTTTTTTTTTTTTGTATGGCCCACAACCCAAGGATGGTTTTTATGTTTTCAAGTGTTTGAAAAAAAAGTCCAATGAAAAATAATATTCTGTGACATGTAAAAAGTGTGTACGTGAAATCTAAACTTCAGCGTCCACGTAGAAAGTTGCAATAGGATGCAACCACGGCCATCGCTTACATGTTGTCTAATTCTGTGTTCATGTATGGCCCTCAAAACTGAGCACATTTAATATCTGGTCCTTGACAAGAAAAGTTTGCCATTTTCTGCTTGAAACCAATGCCCAGGTGCCCAAACAGTGTGTGGTCTTAGTGCAACCTCTTCCTTGCTTACCCAGCATGCCTCTGGGTCTGCTCTGTTTCCACTTCTTACTGCTTGGTTCTGTCCTGTTTCATACACCTGTGTTTCAGACCAGGGTCCCAGATCAGGCTCCATCAATGACTAGCAGTGTACAATTGTGTTGTTTACTTATCCTCTTGTTTCCGGTTAGTCCCTCCCATGAGAATGCAAATTTGCTGAGGGCAGAGACTTTGTGTAACTCTTCACTTCCGATCCCCATGCCTTATAATACATTTAACCTCGCATATGGCAGGTTGCTCGACAAATAACTTGTTGAATAAACAAATGTGCCTTGGCAGTTAACTCAACTGTCATTTTTCTCATCTCAGACATATAGACAGTAAAATTTACCATGTGGAATATGTGTGAAGACACCCTGCTGAAATGTGTGAGGACACCAAACCAAGTACTTATGATGATGCCTGAAGGAAAAAAAACATGGTCCCTGCAGCCAGGGTGACCTAGATTTTAACTTGCCATATTCTATTTAAGTGAACTAAGGCAAGCCAGTTAGCCTTGTTGAGGCTCTCTTTCTTCTTCTTCGGTAAAAATGAGCACAATCCTATTTCTTTCACAGAATTGTTATGGGGTATAAATGAGGCGATGTTCCTGGGAAGACTCAGGTCACTGTAAACCTGGTAATGACATTTGCTCTTTCCCCCACTTGCTCCATGATTCCATCCAGTAGCCCTAACTCCTTCCCGCCGGCCTCAGACGGTGGTGTGCTTGCTGAACTGCCCCTGAAAGGCTGGTTGATGCTTGACTGCTTGATGCTCCTTAAATAAAGGGAAGGTAATGCTGGGACTTTGCTAATGTCTCCTGGGTCAGAAAGGCACAACTCATTGCAATTTGTTTTTAAAGGGACATCTAAATACCAGATAAGATCACTTGAATACGCTATACCAGGTTCTTAACATTTTCTCTGATTTATCTTTTGTGGCCTTTACAAGGAGGGAAATGCCCATTAATTAAATTCAGAGATATCAGAATTGCTAAGGGGATTGTTCTAAACACTAGTATTATGAACAAGAAGTAATATAACCTTTACAAAGATATTATAGAGCAACTTAGACTATTAAAAATGTGGTAAGCAAATAATGACAGGGGATTCCAGATGAGAAAAGTAATGGCCCATCCCTTTCTCAAAGGAATCACAATGCAGGGGTAAATTTTTTAAATGTCAAAAGCAAAGGTGATGATGGCTAGAAGATGTGACAATGGTTTGTATTCCAGTGACTATCCTAAAATAAAGGGTCATATTTGGTCCTTGGGTTAGAGTTAAGTGACTCTCTTAACTATTGCTGATTTTTGTTTTCTTTAGAGGTGAAATGGAGCAAAATCTCTCCTCAAGGACATTCCCTAAGCATTGCAGATTGACATGTATGTAACCTCTTCAGGTAACCGAGAGAGAGACAAGGCCAGCACCAACTAATCCTTATGCATCTTGAATAATTTATTCCAATAGCCATTATTCAGACAATAAAGCATTTTGTTAGCTAGAGAAGACAGAATGGATAAATTGAGATGAGTGAGGCTAAAACCTGTTTAATGATGTTCTCTGCTGAGGAGAAAAGGAGAGACTTAGTCGAGAGGAAGAGAAATAATGGGATGAGTCTGAGACATTCTGTAGCAATGAAGTCTACCATGTGGGCAGTTAGCCTGCATTTAGAAAATTAATTTTTCTTATTTAAAATAGAATAAAACACTAACAATTTTCTGCAGGGGGCAGCTCGGTAGGACGACGGCTGAGACTTGGATGAAACTTCCTATCTCATTCATTCAAGCACACAGCATCATCTTCGGCTTCAGTGACCAAATTACAGAATCACTGGCAACTCCACATCTCATGTTCAAGAAATATTTCCCTGAGAACTCTGTCTGTAAGGATGCTTACTTAAAACAAAAAACTTGCCTTAATAGTTATGCATCTTGAAACCATTTAGACAAAACCCAAATATAGTTTCATGTCAAAGTTCACTCAGTAGTCTTTCAAATCACTCCTGATGCTTTTATGATATTTAATACAATAGTCAAGTGTAATATTGCATCTATACTTGACTATTTCTCTCGTTATTTCAGATACAAATGTCAGTAGTTCCTGAATGAGTACGACTGGGTAGAGCAAGAAGTAATACCATTAAATCCACTACACATGAGATATAATCTTAGCTCCTTTAAATATGGCCTCCAATGAACTTCCCGTCAACCTCTTAGGCAGGGTTGCTTCCTGTTCTACAGGAGAGGAACCAGAGACTCAAGACGTGATTTGTTGGAGACCCCAGTTCATAACACAGAATTCCAGCCCAGCCTTGTCTGAGCAGTCTTTAGAGCATTCTTTTTTTGGTGATTGGGGTGGGGGCCGGAGTTTGGGGCAGAGACATAAATGTTGATGGGAAAAGGAGAAAGTGAAAACATTACTTTGTTTTTTATCATTAATGGATCAACTCAGATGAAACTCAGTTTTAGCTTTGGAACAGCTGAATGCAATCCACTAAACCTTAGTGGGCTGCATCCTTGAGACCAGCTATGATTTTAGTAGTATCCCACATTTTATGCATCAGAATTTTCTGTCCCAAGGACTATAAACAGCTGTGCAGGGGGGGGCAAGAACGACACAGGATGAGAAGAGCACATGGCTCTTGAAGAGAAACAGTGGTATAAACTTCAGTGACCATTGTTTGCGCTGGAGATTACTAGCAAGGGCTTTCTTTTCTTTCTTTTTTTTGTCCATGCCCCTAGCGGGAAGCGAACCCGGGACTCTCTGGTCTGCAGGCCAACACTCCAACCGCTGAGCCAAACCGGCCAGGGCGCAAGGGCTTCCTTACTTGTGTCCTGGAAGTTGACGTCGTTGCCATTGTACGCATTCTTCAGTTTGTTGGTCATCACACGGAGAGCCATTATCTGCTGCCGGATGAAAGTGTCGGGCCGAGTGATGTCCACGTCCACCTCAGGGTTGTTGATCTGGTTGGTCAGCCCATCATTCATGATCTCAGGCAAGTACCTGCAGCACACACAGGGAGAGGACAGAGAGGGTGAGGCAGGAGGGATATCGAACCGGATTCTGCCCTGCCATTTCTAACAGTGAGCCAAAACATCCGCAGAAATGGGGCCCAGTTCCTGGAAAGGAGGCCAAAGTAAAAATATGAAGTAAATTTTCTCAGAGGGAGATGTGGCTAAAATGGCTTCACAGTAGTTTTTAAATTTTTTTTATCCTCACCTAGAGTGGGAGAGAGAGAGAGAGAGAGAGAGAGATTGATGTGAAAGGGACACATCAAGTGGTTGCCACCCGCACGACCCAACCAGGGCCGGGGACAAACTGCAACCAAGGTACATGCCCTTAGCAGGAACCGCACCCGGGTCTCTCTGGACCGCAGGCCAATGCTCTAACCGCCAAGCCAAACCAGCCAGGGCCACCGTAGTTTTTTTAAATGACACTGAATTCTTAGGCAGGCTTGCCTACAAATGAGTGCACAACCGGGGACTGACTTGTCTTCATCCGTATCTTGAACAAAATCGACTTCACAGTGTTCACTGGAATGGATAACAAAGCACCAGAGTGCACTGCAAATTCTTTTCCCAAAGCGTCACAATATTTACTGCCTTAAAAATATTCTAATTGAAAATTTTAATAAGTCATGGAACTATATATTTCTCTATTCTTGCATGGAACTATATATTTCTCTATTCTTGCAGTAAAGAACTTCTGTGCTGCCTTCTAATATACCTGGTATACTAATACATTCTTGCTGGATTCTGAGATTGTCTTCCTGAGTGAACTTCTGAAATGTGACATTGGGTTGACTACATTTGACATTCAATTACATGTGCTGGGCTCCGAGAGCTGTATCTAATTATTAAAGCCCATTGGAAAGAAGAGGTGCCAGTTTAGGCCAGCCTTCACTGGTACCGGAGTGGAGAGGAGCTGAAAGGTGACCCTCAGTTCTGGTGTTGCTCCTCAACATTGAGGACAATGATTTTTGCAGCTGGGCCTGTGCTGAGTCAGGGGAGAGCTTTGTTTCTCTCGGATGCTGTGTGCACTGCATGGCTGGCCGAGACTCATTTATCAGACGCTGACTGCTATAGCTTACATTGGGAATGGCACCCCTGGGAGTCTGAGCATCCAGGAACAATAAGAGACTGCCAAATACATCCGGCCTCTAACTGTGCCTACTGACGCTCAGCCACTCACAATAAAAACAAAGAACAATGCACTTGCGTCCTCAGGAACCTTTTCTCCTTTCTGTGTATTCAAAGGGTAACTTTGGAGACAATGTGGAAACTTAAACTGAAAAACACAGCTGAACAAGACAATTGCCATTTTGTAAATCCACAGTACATCCTGAAGTCAAATCTATGGATGGCCAGGGAGTAGCCTGAAAGATCTATGGGAGTCCAGGTGAGCACCAGGACTCCTGGGCCCCTTTATTTGTTGCCTCTCATGTTTGATCTCTTTCTACGATGATCTTATGCTGCAAGAATGGATGCATCTTTGAGCTCATACTATTCTTCCCTTTATTAGGTTTTGCACCAGCTCTTTGGCATGACAGCATTCTAGTTTTGCACCCACATGGTCCGGGAGGCTACAGATAGCTCAGGTTCTGAGGCTGGATGCACATTTACCTGTGGCAGGGAGAGCCCAGGCATAAGGGCAAACAGGGCTGTCATCGTTTACCAATGTTTCGTGCTGTGGTGTGTGGCACCCACCAACAGTCAAGCACAGTCTCCCCATTTTGGTTGCTTCCTATTTTGCAGTAGTGTATATAGAGACTAACTCTTCAGCAATCTTGCAGAATTATTTTCCTTCAGATCTGCTATGGTCTGAACGTTTGTCCTTCCCCCCAATTCATATGTTGAAAACCTAATGCTCAAGGTGAGGCCCTTGGGATGTGACAAGGAGGAGCTGTCATGAGAGGGATTAGTGGTGCCCTCATAAAAGAGGCTCCAGAGAGCTAGCCTTGCCCCTTCCGCCGCCTGAGGACTCAGTGAGTCTGTGACCCAGAAGAGGGTCCTCACCTGACCATGCTGGTCTTGGACTTCCAGCCTCCAGAACCATGAGGAATACATTTATTTATAAGATACTCCATCTGTGGTGTTTTACTGTGGCAGTCAGAACTCACTAGACATCTCATTTCTAATTATTGATGTGGGCTTCCTAGGTCATATCCAGACATTATAGCTGATTAGGGTGGAGGCACCCCAAGGGGACTTAGGGGAGCTGATACAGTGACCCCTGTAGGCTCTGTGCTGGGTCCCTCCCTGGCAGAGTTGGCAGCCTCTGTCACCTGAAAGACATGAGACAAAGACTTGTCCCCACAGAAGTGTCCCACAGGCCAGCCACAGTGCCTGTCATTGCCCCCATGCAAGATCACCCCCTTCTGTTGAGCGGATGTTTCCAGAAAAACCCTGCTGATATCTGAATGTGCTGGCTAGGAGGAGAGACGTGTTCGCCAGGCAGTCTTCAGTATTTCTCATCAGCACGTTAATGCTAGTGTTGTTCTGATGAAAGGAGCTTCCTAGGGAGGGGACGGGACACACAACTCTCAAGACCTAATGGGATTAGTGAGTCAAACCCGAGAAGGGAGGCGCCTGTACGGAAGGTTGGCTTGCTGGTGGGGTGGGCACGAGTCCATTGGCAGCTGGGTCGGATGGGGAGAAGCAGGTGTCTAGGTGCGGGCCTGGGTTTGTGTTAGGGACGTGACACTTCCTCTGACGGCCTCAAGACACACTGTCAGATGGCGGAAGCAGTTTAGTTCTGTTTGTTGCCATAAATGAGCTCCATTCAATAAAGTTTCTATAGCAAGTTCTAATTCTACATATTTATTTCCCTTTGGTGGGTTTAAGAGTTGTAATGTGAAGTAGACATAATACTAATACCGGTCCAAAATGCCTTATCTGTGGTTCCAAAATGCAAAGGTCTCCGGAGTTCTTTTCCTGTAATTCATTGATTACCAAACTTGGATCTGATCAGAAGTGAGACTATCCAGAGCCCTCCTTCACCCCACTGAATGTAAATAGTAATACGTTTTGCTGCAGACATTTAATGTGTTTGATTGTGTGTTCCAGCCTTAGACTCCACAGGGAGTACCTACTAAAAGAGGTATGCTCTGTGATGATTTTCTAAAAAATCTAAACAATGCGGAATTCTGAGACACATGTGGTCCCAAGGATCTCAAATAAGAGATTGTGAACCTGTGGTACCCATAATTTCTCAGAAGCTTTCTTTAAAATCCAAGTGTTGCCCGGCTGGTATGGCTCAGTGGATTGAACGTCATCATCCCATGGACTGAGAGGTCCTGGTTCCATTCCTGGTCAAGACACGTGCCCCACGTCTGCTGTCTCTCTTTTTCTTTGTCTCTATCCACGACTGTACTGTGTGGCCCTCAGGCATGCCAGGCATCCCCAGGACCAGTGAGTAATGCACCTTGTTCTGCAATATTCCCGCCCTGACGGTTTCTTGCAAAAGTGCGGTGATCATAGTAAGAACCACGAGAGGGAACCCAGCTGCAGAAAGGGGCTCTGGTGGGGAAAATGTCTGTGGAACTGGCTGTGAGCGGTATGAGCTGGGGCCATGCAGCAGGCATTCCTAAATGGAGGTGATGCTCTCACAACCGATGGATACGAAGGGACCGGAAGTCTTTGTGTGTGGCTCGAGGGCATGCAGAACGGTGCAGGTGCTGGAAAACAGGATGGTAGTTCCTCAAAAAGTGCAACACGAAACTACCCATATGATCCAGCAATTCCACTTCTGGAATGATCATCCCAGAAGAATTGAAAGTATCTACTCGAACAGATATTTGTACAGCATGTTCACGGCAGCATTAGTCACCACAGCCAAAAGACGAAAGCAACACAGGTGTCTGTTGATGAATGAATGGATAAACAAAATGTAGCATATACATAGGATCCTTTCAGCCTTAAAAAGGAAGGAAATTCTGACACATGCTACTTCATGCATGAACCTTAATTAAAGACATGCTAAGTGAAATAAGCCTGTCACAAAAGGACAATTACTATATGATTTCACTTATATGAGGTGCCTGGAATAGTCAAATTCGTAAAAACAGAAAGTAGACTGTTGGTTGCAGGGGCTGGGGAGGGAGAGTTGGAGAAGTAGTGTTGAACGGGTGCAGAGTTTCGGTTTAGGAAGAAGAAAAAGTTCTGTGGGTGGATGGTGGTGATGGTGTACAGTAAATGAATGTACTTCATGAACTGTACTTAAAATTGGTTAAAATGGGTAATTTTAAGTTATGTATATGTTACCATAATTTAAAAAAATCTGTTTTAAGTATAACCTTCTAAAGTTCTTGCTATAGATTATTTTTGTCCCTTTCCATTTTTTTCTGACTAAGAAATATAGTCACTCAAATAAAGCATGCTGTAACTTTACGCTGTAAGTGAATTGAATTCTTGAAAACCCTTACGCTAGAGCTGTCTGTGGCATTAGGGACCGCAGAGAGATGTGACACTGGGGTGTGGTCAAAGGCACAGAGATGGACCGGGACACTGGAGATGTCTGAGACTCAGCCCTGTGATCACGGGCAAGTCACTTAGCTACTTCATACAATTATTTCATATGTTCATATGTATATAACACCTTATTTGTTTCATAAGCTGCCATTTTGAGTAAAAGTCTACGAAAATGCTTGAAAAATACAGCACACTATGCAATTCCAATGCAGTCTTATGAAAAAGAAGTTGTTAACAGAGCTCCCTCAAATGCCAAGCTTGTTTCTCAGGACTGGCTGACAGCAGCAGACTCTGGAGTTTCAAAGCGTAAATTCATGTAGAGGAAGGATTTCTGTGGCCTCCCTCCAGCTGGAGAACGTGTGGCAGGCAACGGCTCGAGAACTGGAGGACACACAGCTCCCTGGCTGCGGCAGTGAGCAGAAGCTACGGTCTTTGACTTGGCTTCTTAACTCCTTGGCAGGAGCTCCCCAAACCCATGCCTTCCTGGTAGAACTGGAGTCAGCAAACCACAGCATGGATAGGAAAGACGCCCCA